TCTTAATTTACTAGAACTAAATGAAAATATGACACTAAATAGGACGCAATGGAGAAAAAGGATTCATGTAGCCGACCCCACGTAGTGGGATTAAGGCTTTGTTGTTGTTGTTGTTGTTTGTTGTTGTCTTTTGTGCGCTTTTCGTTGAAAGTGTTACAAGCAACATTAATGGTCAAGGATAGACAAATAACTTCTAGCATTTGTCTATTCATCAACTCGCACTCATCTTAATCAATAGTGAAAGACATTGATCTCTTCAAATGTTGGAGAAGCTTTTTTATAAAGATAATGTTCTATTTAACTTCCAAGTGCCAATACCCCAACCATCAAATTTATTAAACTCCAACCAAAAAGATTTTTAGACAAACCTCTGATACCAAGTTATAATTGTCATTGAACATTAAGCAAAATTCAATAAAGGCCAAAAATAAGCACACCCAAGGTCATAATCATAAGATGCACAACTTTATAAGAATTTGTCATATTTACCCACGTCCAAAATCACATAAATATTGAATATTTTACTGAGCTTTTAAAAAGAACACATAAAAATAATTTATATATAAGAAAATAAAAAATAGAGAAACCACGTTTTCTCTATCAAACACCATCTACAAAAATAAGAGCTGAATGAAAGAATAAGATGTTCTCGTTGTCGCTATTATTGTCTTCTCTTCATGATCATGAGAGATCCTTCCTCTCTTCTTTCCTCTAATGCAATAGCTTTTTCTTTCTACAGCTTAAAGCTTAAGTTCCTCCCCAACACCCCACAACCCGCCCACTTCTCTTTGTTTTATATTTATAAGATGCTCCCAACACATTGAAGCCCTCTCCTTATATAGCACTTGGTGATGATAGGTAACAAATTTGAATTAATTAGGTAAATGATGATAAGTATCATAATGTAGATGTTAAGTATAAGATGATATGTAATGAATTTATAAAAGTTAGGTTGAAACTTTAAATGAACTAAGATGGTCTAATCATATTTTAACATTAATAATTTTGGAAAGTAACATTTTTATGGGAATATTTAGTGTTGAAGTATAAATTGGACATGGGCCAAATTCGACCTAGGATATTGGAAAAAGTTTCCAAATTATTTACCAACAACACTAGCTAGTGTCCACGTAATTAACATGCTAGGTGCATATTATAGTTTCATGAGCAAGCTTCTATAAAATAGGAAAATCAAAGAAATTATGATACTCAAATGATTTATCACTGCATGTTCTCTACCACATTATTGTGTCAAGTACCCTAATACACATATATACCCTCGAGAAAACAAGAAAAAAAAATAGAACATTAACACCATGTGTGGTTCAAATGAATTAAGCAAAAAAAAAAATGTTTGACTCGTAATCATATCTTGGTTGTTTGACTTAAGTGTAACACGGACAAAATTAATTTTACCAAGGAGATTATAATATATACTTCTTTTAATGAATTTTTGTTTAAACCCGGGGAGAAGTTAATTCACAAGAAAGTGTGAATGGTATTAGGCTGTGTTCATTTTCCAATTTATTATTTATTCCATCAAATCAAACAAACAAGAAAAAACATTTTTCTACTCAATTTCCACTAGGCCAAAACAAACAAGAGAAAACTAACTTCAATTCAATTCCTTTATCATTTCTAATTTTGGTTTCCTCTGTTTCAGTTCTTTCTAAACAAATAGAGCCAAAAAAGATGAAGGGTTGAAATATGGCCGAGTAGAATAGAGATGACATAATTTTGTTCCATACTAAAACTACACACTCAATGAAACTAGTTGGGAACGATATCTATTAGTTGGTATAAAAAATGAGAATGTGTAAGTTTTATAATAATTTCATATAAAAAAAAGGGCCATTACATAGATACCACCCAATTCTAATGTATTTACATATCTGACTCCTATAGTTTACTTTTTACATTTATATCACCCAAGTTTTTCATTTCGCATAAAAAATACCACTATTTCAACTTTTAAAAAGTGAATTACACCTTTTCATGCATTGTAAAGGTGGCATATATGTAAAAATTGAAGCTAAGGTGTTCGATATGTAAATACATAAGAATTGAGTGGTGTGTATGTATATCTCCCAAACAAAAAAAAAAACTAAGAGACATATCTTCCATCCAGAGTCAAGTTCAAAACAACAAGAGACAAGTACGCTACCAAAGAGATAAGGTATGCTTTTCTTGGTAAAGACATGTCTTACTTGTTTGTACGTCTTGTTGAGGATAGATATCCTTCAAAACCCTGCAGCACACTTCCACATTGCGCTGATTGTTGCAAGTAGTTAGTCTCCAACTCATAAGCCTTTGCGAAGAGAATGAAATTATAACTGACTTTTAGAAATTTAAGATTAACCATGAAATTTCCAAGATCAAAACTTGCTAAAACTCTCAGGTGTGTTTGGTTTGAAGGAAGAGGATTGAAATGTAAACAAATTCAAAACTTTAAATTGGGTGTTTGATTCTATTGTAATCAATAAGCAATTAAATTTACTTAAGCAATGGAGGTTAGGTTTGGTCTGGAGGAATTGGAAGAGAAGAAATAGAAAGAAATAGAAAGTGAAGTTAAGAAATAATTGAATTAACATTACTTTTCATCTCTCTCTCTATCTCTCTCTTTATATATATATATATATATATATATATTAG